ATAACAGTTAACGCTGTAGAAATATGTTATCATTCCCACAGGTTTTGTATTTTATTAGATGGGGTAGCACAATGATTCTACCAAAATGAATTATACACCTAAACAGTGGAATGACAGAACATATTTATAAGCTCACGTGCAGGTTTTGGTTTTTTGCTTGTCTCCGTTCTGCAGTTGGAACATCTTGGAAACCTAATGTATTCCAAACATGGCTCTGTGTTAGGTGTTGAGAAGATACAGTAAAATAGAAAATTGTCTCTGCCCTCAAGTGGTAAAAATCAAGAGCAAGAGAGACTTATGAAAAAGAACTAGAATATGGTCTCATTGGTGCAGTACCAGAAGTGATGTCAAGGTATGGAAATACAGCATTCAACGAGGACAACTTAATCTCCAGGAGTGGGGAAAATTCATGGATAGTGGTCCATGAGGACAGATTTGTTGACCAAGAGGAAGGAACAATGGCATAGAGATGTGAGTTAGCACAACATGCTTAGGAAATGCCCAGTGTCTGGGTATGAAATGAATGTCATTGTTGGCAATGGACTCAACCAGTCTAGGAATCTTGGACCTACCACATATATCTCTTCACTTTTTTTCCAGTACCTTCATATTAGTTCATACTTCTGCACAATGTCTGATAGTTCAGTTCTTTGTCTATGGAACATACAATGAAAGGTGTTCTGGAATAAGTTCAAGAAAAAAAAAATCAAGGATCCACCAAGTTGTGTGACCCTGGGCACTGCATTTAAATTCTACAAATCTCAGTTATCATCAGTGGGCAAATACAATGAGACTAACTGGAAAGTATCCAAGAGCCCCTCATTTACAAACCCCACTTTAGTTCAATGATTTATCAAATATCTGTTAAGTAAAAGACATTATTCTGTACAAAGGTATCAAAGATGAATAAAACATCATGCCTGCTACCAAAAGTTCACATATAATAGGGAGCAAAAGAGAAATGAATATACCTAAAATAATACACAAGGCAACATGTGAGAAGTACAAGTAACAAAATGCACAAGACAAAGGAAATCGTGGGAGTAGTTTTGAGGCACAGCAAGGAGTCCAGCTGATTAGAAGGTACATGAAGAGACAGTAGGAAAAAAAAAAAAAAAAAAACAGAGGGGCGCCTGGGTGGCTCAGTTGGTTAAACCGCTGCCTTCAGCTCAGGCCATGGTCCCAGGGTCCTGGGATCGAGCCCCACGTCGGGCTGCCTCCTCATGCAGGAAGCCTGCTTCTCCCTCTGCCTGCCGCTCCCCCTGCTCGTGCTCTCTCCCTCTCTCTCTCTCTCTCTCTCTCTCGCTCTCTCTGTGTGTCAAATAAATAAATAAAATCTAAAAAAAAACAGAAAGGTTTGTTGGAAGTGTTCTGAAGACCATTTAATGCCAGACCAAAAAATACCCATGTATATATGAAATGTTCATATGTTACAAAGGTGACATCAGAGATCATTAAAGAAGGGAGGGACTTCTCAATAAATGGTTCTGAGACAACTGATTATGTGCATGAAAGAATGAAAAGAAATCTCAAACTCTACACAGGAAAAAAAAAGAAATAAAAATGTATCCTAGTTGGATTAAAGGCAAAAATATGAAAGACCAAACTATACAATTTAGGATATAAGAGAATGTATTTATTTATTTTTTAAAGATTTTATTTATTTGAGAGAGAGAGAGACAGTGAGAGAGGGAACACAAGCAGGGGGAGTGGGAGAGGGAGAAGCAGGCTTCCCGCGGAGCAGGGAGCCCGATGTGGGGCTCGATCCCAGGACCCTGGGATCATGACCTGAGCCAAAGGCAGTCGCTTAACCAACTGAGCCACCGAGGGACCCCAAGAGAATGTATTTAATTACATGTAGGCAAGATTTCCTAAGCACAACACAAAGGACCTAAGCCTAAAATGACTGAAAACACTGATTACATTAAAATTGAAACTAAAGTTCATGAGAAAATAACAAAATATTCAAGTCATCAGAAAATACCATAAAGTTAAAAAAAAAACTAGACCAAATTTCAATCACACATAACACATTAAGGATTTTATATGTGCATACATAAAACATGCATGACACATATATACTTAAAACTACAATTCAATAAGATACAATAATAGAAAAAATGAGCAAAAGACTTGAGTAGGTGTTTCGTAGAAGAAATATAAATGGCAATGAGGTATATGGAAGAATGTTTAACTTCATTAGCAATCAGAAATACGAAAATTAAGTCCATGCAGAGATAATCATATTATAACCCACTAAAAATGAGCAGAAACCTCCAGGCCTATTAATATCCAATGGTGGTTGATGGGAAACGATGAGAACTTACATTTTGCTGAAAAACGATGTGGCATTGTCTGGAAAATTTAACATGCTCACCCTCTAGGTCTTAGTGATCTCCTCTCAGGTAAAAACACTTGAAAATGGGTACCATGAGGCATGCATAACAAAGTTCCTAGGAGCACTTTTCATAAAAGAAAAAAAATCTGAACAAGCCCAAATTTCACAGACAGCAACATAAGTCAATTATGGCTGAGTCACACCACGGAATATCGTATCTGAGGGAAGTGAATCAACAACAGTACATGTAATAACAGAGATGAAACACAATCTTGTCGTGACAAACAACAACTGCTGAGAAATATGTAGACTCTAATTTAAATACATCTCCAAAAGAAGCAAAAGTAAACTGTGTTTGTGTCGAAGTACATACATATTTGTTTAAGCTATTTTTTAGAAACAAAGAGATGATGAGCACAGAAAGTGAGCCATGATTCCTTCTGAAGGAGGACCCGAGTGGTGCATGATGGGAGAAACACACACAAGGGTCAAGTGTTGACAGCGCCCCGCTTCTTACATGTGGTGTTAAACGCACAAATACCCAGTGTAATTTGATTTTTAAAAAACTATTTATTCAGGGGCGCCTGGGTGGCTCAGTCAATAAGTGCCTTCGGCTCAGGTCATGATCTCAGGGTCCTGGGATTGAGCCCCGCATCGGGCTCCCTGCTCAGCGGGAAGCCTGCTTCTCCCTCTCCCACTCCCCCTGCTTGTGTTCCCTCTCTTGCTCTGTCTCTGTCAAATAAATAAAATCTTTAAAAAAAAAAAACTATTCATATGCAACAATAAAATCACAAAACATCTTACAGTTTATATTTGATTTCACAGACAAATAAGGAACCATTGGCAGTTGTGAACAGGGCAGTACTATTAGAAACACTTGCGGTGAGAAGAATTCCTACACCAAGTTGCCTGGAATGGCAATGGTGTCCCTGCCTACCTCTCTGCGTCAACAATAGTGGTGCTCCCTGGGACTTGGCCCTCCACTATATGTAGGAGCTATGCTGCCTATGTCCTTCAGACACCAAGATTAGCACAAAGATACTAATCCACTCATCAATATGACTACTTATCATGTACATCCTGGGCCTAGGAGACGTTCAATGATGCTTCAAGGGGATAGGAGTCTCTAAATGTGAGCCCTGTGCTTTTGTCCAGAAGGGAAACATGGTACAAACTCCAAACCTGAGTCCTTAATGCCTAATCCCTCTCATATAATCTTATCCCTTTTAGTAATACCCCAGGTGTTGCTTCCTAGCAGGAAAAGTCAAGCTTCTCGGCTTGTGCCGGCATCCAGTTTCACTCACGCAAGTCATCTGGGATGCAATGTGAAAAGACGACGCCTAACACAGAAGGGGAGGCAAATGGGGTATGGTCACCTTTAATCCCTTACCTTTTGCCTGGACAGTGATTTCCAAATCACTTCTCTAAATTTTAAAACAAGATCAGAGTCGACATTTGTACACAATCAATGCACCCATTAAATCAATGGCTCTCGATCTTGCGTTCCCAAATTGAGAATCACCTGGGGAACTTAAAAAAATACCAGTGCGTCATCCCCCAGGAGATTCGACTTGATTCCTCTGAGTTAGAGGACCTTGTCACAGCTGACTGAGAACGTCAGAGAGACAGTGACTTCATCACTTAAATCACACACATATGTACTTCAATAAACCAGGGCTACACTAAACATTTGGCGCTCATCTTTCTATCTACTGTTTCGCGATAAAACTGTTTAAACATACTTTAAACTGTTAAACATCAGTTTGAAACTCAAAAAAAAGAAGTTAACATCAACACACCTCCAAAGTACCTGCATAGGATTTCCTCCCCCATCCTGGCTGACAATACTACAGAAGTCCGCTTTTCTGCTGGGTTTGAAAAAATAGCATTGGGTGATGACCAGAGATTTGGAGATCTCAAACCTGACCACCATTTCCAGCAGCAAGAGCCTTCACTGACAATTGCTAAAAAAAATAACCAAACCCAGGGCACCTGGATGGCTCAGTCGTTAAGCGTCTGTCTTCGGCTCGCGTCATGATCCCAGGGTCCTGGGATCGAGCCCCTCATCGGGCTCCCTGCTCTGCGGAAAGCTTGCTTCTCCCTCTCCCACTCCCCCTGCTTGTGTTCCCTCTCTCGCTGTCTCTCTCTCTGTCAAATAAATAAATAAAATCTTAAAAAAAAAAAAAAAAGCCTGAATATTTTGACACCTAATCTCCAAGAATCAGAAGTTTCCTAAACCCCGTGTGTTTAACACTTCTGCAGCAAAGTGGCTTGGATATGAATCATCAACATGATCCAGTCTCCCAATTTTCCAGGCTCCAGCTCAATCACGGGGATTGCTTTTTGCAAGTTATCCTGGCCTTCGGAGGTGCAGAATTCACTTGAAAATAAAGAAAAATAGGGACTCCATGAGAAGCAGCAACTGAAGCCTTCAAAATTATATCCAGTTGCTCTCTTTGAATGCAGATTTATAGCCTTTTGAGGGTATCACTAGCATAGGGCTGCCAACATCAAAAGCTCTCTTAGAAGAAGCACAAGTCAAATGCTTATGCACATTTGAAATCTGCCCCACCCAGTGTCCTCAGAGTGTCCAACTATTACATCCACTTGAATAACCACCTCATAATGGGCCCAGCGGACCATTCAAACTGGAAAGTGTTACCCTCTCACCACACCTGAAAATCCAGCTTTACACAGGGAAAAATGGAAATTGGAAGTGATTTATTTACCCAGGTAAGAATTCGGAGCTGTGTGGCAAATACTCTAAAATCATATTCTTTGGGCGCCTGGGTGGCTCAGTTGGTTAAGCGACTGCCTTCAGCTCAGGTCATAATCCAGGAGTTCCTGGATCGAGTCCCGCATCAGGCTTCCTGATCGGCAGAGAGTCTGCTTCTCCCTCTGACCCTCCCCCCTCTCATGTGCTCTCTCTCTCTCTCTCTCTCTCTCTCATTCTCTCTGTCTCAAATAAAAAAAATAAATAAATAAAAATAAAATCATATTCTTTGAGTAAAGTATAACTCACAGCACTAATATCATAGTATTAGTGAAAATGCAGTTACAATAATATTCTTTCCTGTGTACAGATTTTTAAAACAATGACATTTAGAAAGTATTTAGGACCTACTAGTGATTGATTGTAGTAGATCCTAAATACAAGTTCAGTATTTGTTCATACTGGACACATCTATTACCAAGGATGCAGAAGTAATTGAGACAAAAGCTTAAGACTCACCCCAAATTTCCTCCCAACATGAAACAAATCCATAACAGAAACTTTTTACTATATTAATTAGCTCTGCTACACTGAACTAACCTGAGCCCCTCAAATCAAAACCCTAATGTTCTCTAAGAACTGAGCCAAGAAGAGAGATCTATATTATTTCAAAGGTATTTAGAAAAATAAAAACATTTTAAATAAAAGGAAGACATCCTCTAACAGAGGAAAAATGATCAATAGTCTTTAGTCTTCTGGTATTCCTTTTGAATTCTTTTGTGCCTCTATTGATTACTTTTGTTTTTATAGCCCCAGAAACGAAAAGAGGTAAGAATGACAACATTGAGAAAGTGAAGATCTGGATTCATGGGTGAGCACCGACAGAAATGACCTATAAAAGTCAGGAAAGCTACTTTGCTTCTCTAGAATGTGGTTGTTCATGTAAAAATTTGGGTTTTGGCCTAGAAATTTTAGGGTTCTTTTCAGTGATACAATTTTATGATTTTCCTCTACAGAATTACATAGAAACTTCGTGATCAAATTAATGTTTGTGAAACATTAAATGGATGGCCATGTAAATGCTTTCTATCTTCTGCTTTTAGGCAGGGCCCCTCCACAAAGCTAGAAGAAGCTTTAGAAGCGCAGCTCAAAGATGAGTACTGAACATGAGAAATGACTGGCTCCCGGATCCTTTCAACCTCTTCATAAAATACACCAAGGTCACTGAAACAAACTGGAAGTCAGAGTGTTCTATACAGTGAGTTTTGTTTATCAAAGGTGTTTTATTACAATGTGAGAATTAGAGAACCTGGAAACATAAAATTTCATAAATCTGGTTTCTATTGGAAAGAAAAAGTCACTCTAGCAACCAGAGGCCCCTGCACCCAACTGAGCAAAAATGAGCCACAGTGGGGGTGCAAGGGGTCCTAACTCCTTCAGCCATTTTCCATGCAACCCACTTCGGTTGCTAGAGTTGCTCATGTATGCATTAGTTTACAACCACTGATTTAAGAGAAACTGATACCTAGAATTAAATTTTTTATGGTGTCGGTAACTTCCTCAAAATGCTTCAGCCAAGGCTTACCAGCATCATTCCTGAAGTCCTACTAACTTGTCCTGAAAATTCTACATCCACAGCATTTTTTATTGAAGGTTTTAATATATTTTTAAAATGCCAAGAAATGGTTCCCAAAATGATAAAAATATTGTGAAGAACCAGAGAAGGAAGTGACACGTTGAAGCACATGTGGTCTCGAACTTCCCAGGCTCATCACACTGCTTAAAGGAGAAGGGAGTTTTTGAGAAGGGAGTCTTGAGGAAGAAACAGACAGGGGGGCCTGGGTGGAACTGTTGGTTGAGCACACAACCCTTGGTTTTGGCTCAGGGTCATCATGACATTAAGCCCCGTGTCAGGCTCCACATTCAGCAAAGAGTCTGCTTAAGATTCTCTCTCTGCTTCCACGCCTATGCTCACTCTCTCTCTCTCTCTCTCAAATAAATAAATCTTAAAAAAAAAATACAAAGATTTGGGGGTTAGACAAGAGATACCACGGAGAGAGAAACAGAGTACCTAAATTAAGAAGCTGACTCAGAAGTCAAAATTAAATCGACATCTCAAGTGTTATTAATGCCATTTAAATTAATAGCATAGAACTTTCATGATCTAAGTTTACTATAAGGATGATATATGACATTCTACTAATATATAATACATACACAGATACCCAGGCATCAAAGCATTTATCACCTTGACAATTATTAATGATTGGCTTTGTAAGTGATGGTCTTCTCTGCTGCAGGATGTGATATGGTAGTGCTGTCTTTCCACACTGCCATTCCAGAGGTTGAAATGCGTCTCAAGCTGTCTGTTAAACTTGAGAAAATACTAAATGGGTTGTGTGGGTTTTCTTTTTTTTGCTTTCTTTTTGCCCCAATGTAAAAAAAAGAAATTAATGACAAATCTTTTATTCAGCTTTATTTCTTTAAAGCAAACCCCCAAATACATCCCACCCACACACCTCACACTGACAAAACCTGTGAACCTCCTGATTGTTTTTGTTGGGTTTTTGTTTTTGTTTTTGTTTTTCCGTAAGGAAAACAACTTTGGAAATTTGATGCAATCAGTGTAATTCTGGTCCCAAAACTGAGGGAGATACAAGGGTTGCTGATTTAGATGGAAGAGAGTTAAACTTTTTCCAGCCCCTCTCAAATGGCTTATAAAATACTTACATTTGCCTGGCAAAGAATTTTATTTGGTGGTCTGTATTTTTTTGGCCCTATATCTTTTTGAAGACAGGTTGGAAAATTCTTAAAGACACACTAATGAAAATTGTTATTGGAATTCCAATTGCCTTGTGCCACGGCACAACCTTCAAGTACAAATTTAAAGACTTTAAGCTTGTTTTACAAGTGTACACAGAAAGAAAAAATACAGCACATACACTTAAAATTAATAATAAAGGCAATGTATTTAGAAAGCCATGCAGATGGAGGAGCTAGTATTCTATTTCTAAAAAGCCTGGTTTATAATGGCATCTTTAAAAATAAAACCAGAGAACTAATTTGTGATTTCACCTACTTTAATGAACACTTTCATTCCTTTGATAAAGAAAATGTTATTGCTTAGCAAGTTCCTCAGAATATGTGACATACAACTTACTCCAGACCACAGTATGCCATTAGTGATATATTCACAATCTTACTTCCCTTCAATCACTTCTTTTTTTTTTTAAAGATTTTATTTATTTATTTGACAGAGAGAGATAGAGAGAGCAGGAACACAAGCAGGGGGAGTGGGAGAGGGAGAAGCAGGCTTCCCGCCGAGCAGTGAGCCCAATGTGGGACTCGATCCCAGGACCCCGGGATCATGACCTGAGCCGAAGGCAGACGCCTAATGACTGAGCCACCCAGGCACACCTCCCTCCAATCACTTCCGACACATTTCCCAGGCAAGGCCATTTCTGTTTATAACCATGAGAAACATAATACAAACAGACCGAGAAGGCAACACAGGTATCATCCAAAATTTTTATTCACGTATTTCTCCTTCCTCACACATGCTCACACATCCACGGCCCTGTCTCAAATGCAACGTGAGCAAAATGCTGTATCGTCTGGCTCAGGTCTAATCAATCCATCTAGTAATAAAATAGAATTACATGGTAAGGAAGTCCAAAAGGCCCAGAAACCATTTGGAGACTCAGCTTCTAGGCTTGGTACTATTTACTGCTCCCTGTCTGGCCTTGGTTGAAGAATCTCTAAATCTAATTTTATCATCTGTTCAAGATCAGGGTGGATGTGAAAATACAAAGCAATCACACTTGTAAACATCCCTTAAAAGTGCCAAGTTCCAAGCAAATGAATGATTACTCAAAACAGTCATCCATGAGAGTATCACTCTTAAACATCTTTTTAGAATAGTCTGTCTAGGAATGTAGGCTTTCCAACCTATTAAGGGAAAAAAAAAAAAAAAAATATATATATATATATATAAAACCCTCTTACAGTTATTTAATTCTTTCTCTGGCAATTACATTTCCCTGAGTTATTTTATCACAATATTGAATAAGTTTTGGAAACTTTCACCTAAATAGTATTTATGCCTTAACACAATGAGGTTGTAGTAAAAAATATTGGTTGGTGTATGCTACTGGACAATGACTGCCAGGGGCTGGGTGAGTAACAGTAAGCACAACGGGCCCTGTCAAGGAGACATAACTAACTACCTTGCAGCAGAGAAAGACAGACCCCAAACACATACACGATGTGACAACGATAATCCAGCTGGTGGGGAAGCCTCAGTATGCTGTATGAACAGTGCTCTGTTGGGGGGGTTGTTTTTTTTGTTTTTTTTTTTTGAACCAACTGGTTTTACTCTACCTCTTACTTAACTATGGCCTCGTTCTCTCATTATCTTGAATTCCAGATCATTTCAAGTGCGGGTGAGGTCAAGAGATACAATAGAATGAAGGCGATTGAGAGGAGTAGAAAATCTGACTTTGGGCAAACTGCTCAACTTCCAGTTTCCTCTTTATTACATGCAATGAATTAGATGCAAACGTCGGTCCTCAATTACTTCAAAATAGAATTCAAGACTTTTTTTTTAAGATTTTATTTATTTGACAGAGAGACACACAGTGAGAGAGGGAACACAAGCAGGGGGAGTGGGAGAGGGAGAAGCAGGCTTCCCAAGGAGCAGGGAGCCCGATGCGGGGCTCGATCCCAGGACCCTGAGATCATGACCTGAGCCGAAGGCAGACACTTAACGACTGAGCCACCCAAGCGCCCTGGATTCAAGACTTTTCAAATATTGCATCTGTCTTTACAAATGCTGGAAGCAGGACAATATATCATCTCAGAATGGAGCTCCTGAATGTGTTCGTTTTATGAGTTGCTGCATGTTTGTCTGAGTTAAAACTGACATTTGTGTTTACCTATTCTATTGGCATTTTAAAAAAACTGAGGGTTCTAGAGGGTAGGGGGGTGGGGGGATGGGTTAGCCTGGTGATGGGTATTGAGGAGGGCACGTTTTGCATGGTGCACTGGGTGTTATGAACAAACAATGAATCATGGAACACTGCATCAAAAACTAATGATGTAATATATGGTGATTAACATAACAATAAAAAAAATTAAAAAAAATAGTCTTACACTGTATTCCACTTCATACTGCCTTGCACGTGAAAAACAATATTGAAAATACAAACTCTGAATTACTATCACATATGGCCCTGCTACTTAAAGATGGATGGGGTTCATGGATGCGGTCATTTGGAAGCCTATCAAAAATGCAGAATCTCAGGCCCCTCCCCAGACTGACTAAATCAGAAGGTGCATTTTTAGGAGAATTGCAGAGATTTACATGCACATTAACATTTGAAAAGCACTGATTTGTAAGTTTCAAAGATATTACCAGCGTAGCTTCCATAACCCATGATCATTTGGTTTCCTCTCCTCTCCTCATAGATTTTATTAAATTAAATTCAAACAAAGATGGTAACTACTAAATAAGTACTGTTGTTAGCAGAAGCCACCAATCCCTTTCACACTACTCCCAACAACACACGCACAAATATATTCAGGGGCAAATTTCTCACCCAATATTTAGAAAATAAATTTGCTTTTATAGTAAGTTATCAAAAATCTGTGAATGATAGTACACACAACGTAGCTAGGTGTTAGTTGAGCCTTTGAAGTATGCAGGATGATTTCTTCCCATGCCTGCCTGCCAACCACCTACCTGCCGGAATTTCTGCAGTATCACTTTCCCTTGGACTCACCTGATTTGAGAAATTACAACGTTTGATTTTAGATTACAACAAAGCATCTGCGAAATTCATTCTTATTCAAGCTCCACATCGCTGCAGTGACGTTTACGCCACATGATTCCTCCTAGCCTTAAAATGCCAGCTTGGGTTGGTGGGATACCTGCACGCCAAGGTCTCTCTTCCTGGGGAGTAAGGCTCTTTTGCACTTTATGAACCAGAAATTTGGGGACAGAGAATCAGAATCTGCATTAAGTGAAGCTGGCCTTGACCTCACTTGGAAGACAGCTTTTGGTTTTCCAGTTTCCTTATTTATGAAGAAAGGAACTGGTCATAGAGGAAGAATTCTGGCCTCACCTTACTCTTGTCTTGTTAAGAAACAATATCGGGAAATACTCTTGAGTCCTGTAGTGGTCCAATATACCTGAGAAGCATCATACGGGTGGGTTGTTTCTACTCGAGCCCCAGAAACACAACCCAGGACTTCTGCCCCTAATTTCTATGTTGGTGAAGTCAGTGGGGAGGGGCAGGTGTTGAGCACAGAAGACGCGGGTCAGACCCCGTCCTGCACACCCACACCCGCTTTCGGAAGAAATACTGCAAAAGCACAGCGGAGTTCACAGTGGATTTCTAAGGCAGTCCGAAGTGAATATATTAACATCCACCTAATTCTGAAAATTATCTACGCAGAGCATGTATATGCACACAATAAGGCCCCACAATGCAATGTGGCACAAACAATTAAAAGTTCTTTCCAAAGCGGAAATGTAAAATAGAACGAATATCTATTTTCTGTAAATGAATCTAGCTATCTGCCTCAAAAGAGCTGCAGCAGGAGTACCCCAAACAGCAGAAACAGCAGCCTCTGGTGTTAACAGTCTACTCTCAAATCTCACGCTCCACATTTCCCCGGCAAACAAGGCTAAAAATACAAGACATGCAACCAATAGTCTCTTGGGATCTGCCATTCCATGGATGGCGTATTCAATCAGAGTAATATTTTCTGCTGAAATTCAAAATTGAAAAAAAAAAATAAAGCAAGCTATCATATTAGAAACTGGCGTTCAGAATTTTAAATGTGAATACAATCCCAAAGAATATTAAGCTGAATGGTGAGAGGGTGGTTGTTTTCATACAACATAAATCTCTGAGATTTATCTGAATATATTTATAGATTTATTGAAGCTACTCTGAATCCCTCTACAACTCTCACAGTGATAGAGAAATTTTTTAGTCCTTTTGTCACCAAACTATAAGGGTCACTTTATTTTTGGCATAGTTTAGAAAACGGTCCTTGTTGTAGGCTCTGGAGCAGGACAGTGTAGGTTCGAATCCAGGCTCCTCCATATACTAACTCTGTGACCTTGCACAAGTTATTTAATCCCTCTTTGCCCTTCGTTTCCTGTATTAAAAATGAGAATACAACTCACCTCAGAGTGGTATTTTAAGGACTAAATGAGTTAACATACGTAAAGTGTTTAGAATAATCAATGGCACACACTAAGTACAATAATTGCTATTATTATTTCACACTCAAACAAGGGTACAAACATGCCTTCTCTGAAGGAATAGGCAGAATATAAAGAGCGGTAGCAACACGATGGTAAGTTATAACGCCAACAGGGGCCGTTTAGCAAATGAGGGGGCTGAGCTGGCCAGGGTCTTCGCCTAGAGTTTGCAGCTCTCATTACAGGAAAGTTCCCACTGGCTATTCAGTCATGCCATTAGTTCACGAAGGTACCAGAAGGAGAGGGACAGAAGAGAAGACAATGACATGGCTGCTCAGCTGGCACCTGCCTCAATACGGGATTAGGATTCGTGGCAAAAGTGCAATCAAGAGGCATCCCCATCGGGACTTTCTGTGAATGTGTGTGCCTGTCCATTATGGGGACACCTGTATCCCCACTACCACCTTCTTTAAGAGGATGTTATAGAATACATCTTTCTTTGTACATACACCTGTCTTTGGGATTAGATGTGAATGCATGCAGCCTGGGTCTCTAGCCGTCACATTAAAAAAAGAAGAAAAGGCACAAGGGAGTGGTATCAAATATTCACTATCTCCTGTACAACTAATTCCTTGAGAAACCTTTAGAGTTGGCAACATTTTTAGCTGGGTACTATATACGGTAGAAGGAGGACAATAAAGTCATTGAGATGATAGAGAGAAAAGTGCTTCCCTAACTAGTAAGACAGCAGGGTCTGGAACTACCTGACCCACCCAGTCATACAGTTCTGAGAGCTCAAGGAGGATTCCTGGCCCCGTAGCTTTTCCCACCCTATGGGCCACCACTTCCAGAACCATACAAAGGTCAAAGAGTGAGGAAGGACATTTATTTTTCACAGCGAGACCCTGCAAAAGAACAACTTTCTTTCTAAGGGCCAAATCAGAACAACAAATCTCATCTTAAGAACTAAGATACTCGAAGACATTTCTTGAGCAGAACACTTTGTCAGGCAGGAAAAGAAGGTGCCACGGGACTGTTCAAGCTGCGAGCACAACCCAAGAGTAAGAATAAGACAATCCTGGAAGGAAATTGGGAGAAAAGACACTTTCCTCATAGCACTCTGGAGGAACAGTGTTTTTGAGGAAAAGGAGCAGAACGAGAAAGGCCGGGGGGGGGGGGCCGGAAGGAGGCAGAGGCATATAAAGTTCATTAACAAGGAAATGACTAAAGATTTTAAAATGTATGAACCAGGTAGATAAATAGATTTAAGTATGTGTAAACCGTCTGACCCTACTATGCCCAGAAAATAAATGTGTACCTCTCTTGCCCTTAATGCATTAACTATAGCTATTATAAGGAAGATGTCATTGTCCGGGACATTTTTTAAAGCAAGGAATTTTGGGGAAGTTTAGCCTAAGATTACCTCCCTTCCCGCCTTTAGATGGGGATATCTTTATGTACAGTATCTAATACAGGAATCACAACCAGATCTACAGCACTACTCTTGTTTTTCAAAGAACAAAAACAAATCAACATGACAACACGATGTGGATTCAATTAGCACTTGGCAGGTCATGAATAACTTTTAAACAACCTTCTTTTAAGTTGGAAAGTGTTAAAATATACAGTAATCATGGCACCAAAGTGCCTTCCTTACAGTGTGCCAGCAGTCAGGAACATAAATCTGAAAAGATAAGTCTTGTTTGCAAAGGAAGGAACCAGAACTTTGCTCCTTGGGCCACACCAGTTTCTCCGGGCAGTCCCTTGTCCCAAGTTATCTTCCCCTTCTAGTACGTTCAGTTAAAGCCAATTACCTGAAATCTCCCTTTGATTTTCAGACAGTTTTACATTAAGTATGGAGGAGAAGAAAAGGAGAAAAAAAAAAAAACTTGGCACACTCATCTGGCAAACAAAGCGTAAGTCATTATAAAGAAAATGCTACTGAATTGTTAGATATTCTTAGATCATAAAGCAAATGGCATAATTCTATATACCCTGTTGTTTGGGGGGACAGAATACCTTGGTTCAAATCAACATGAAAAGGCTTGCAAAAAAAAAAAAAAAAAAAAAACACTTCGTTGGATAAAGAACAACCTAGGGTCAACCCCACAGAGTCTGGTGAGATGACTCAACAAACATGCCGCAGGAGTGCACCTCTTCTTGCTTTTAATGAACGGGCACCTTCCCAAGCTGGCAGAACTTAAGTAACATTGAAACACACCCTTTGTTCTGAAAACTCCCATGGTGCCCACCTGTCCAAAACCAGGTGCATGCAGCTTCACAGGTTCCAGAGCTGGCTTACGACTCATTCCCTATTGAATCTCAGATAGATGCTAAGGAATGGGCTTCATACCCCCACAACATAAAATACTACAAGGGAAATATTAGGCAGAATTACTGCTCTACTCCATGTGTCTTGATCATTACTATGATCTGTGCAAGACATTCTGTTGTAAATAAGCCTGCAGAGTGTACAGTATGTTTTCTAGGAGACCTTTAAAGAACAGCTTGCAGACAAGAGGTGCTAGCCTTAGTTTCACAGCCAGCAAAACTCCATCCAAGAGGCTTCTGGCATGTCCCCACCTCTTGTTTTGGGCTGGCTTCAAGACAAGTCCACCAACCAAATTCCAAGGGGTCAGTACATGGAGTCAGGCACTCTTAGGTATTTCCACATCAAATAGCAAGCGGGAATTCAGACATTTAGATAATTTAGAAAAGAAAAAGCCTGCTTTTCCCTATAACAGTGTATTAAAAAACAACTCAGAGCAGACTTTGCAAGGAGGCTTTCTCCATAGTAAATTAAATGGCTGAAGCTTATGCTTCTTCCAGCAAGGGAAACAACTATGCTTCACCAGAACCCAGAGTGTGCAATCACGAGGCTCATTTTTAAACCTTTGCTGCTTTTTAAAAAGTCTGCTCCACCAAAAACAAAACAAAAAAAAAAAAAAAAAGGAAAAAAGTTTTCAGGAAATGAAATGCAAATAGTCACTGAACAGGATCATAAAACAGCCTCTATCTACCTCTTTTTCTTTTTCTTTTTTTTAAATTCTTCATTCTAGGCACCCTGACTGCTTTTAACACACTGTTAGCTTTTATAAAAATTAGATTGTGTTGGTTCTTTTATGATCGTCGTCAACCCCTTGCACCCTCTTCTGTCTCTTGGCTACTCATTATGTTCAGGATAGCCAAGAGAGCAGAAGGTGAGGTGGTCGGCTCAGTCCCCCTCTCGCCAGACAAGCGTTAAGGTAAATCATTCAGTGCAATTACATCTTCTAAAACCTAATGGATGGCACACAGGGAAGGAGAAAGGTAAAGATGGGCAGGAAGGAGAGGCTTCGGGGTTATTTCAAAGGTAAAGCCATAATACTCAAGCTATGTGCTGAAATTGCTTCTGATCATCTTCAAAACAAGTCGACGGGATTTATCTTTAATGTGATGCTCACGGTTCTCATTCACAGTGGAGGTGAAACCAGTTGCGAAATTTCACTCTACTGGAGTCCGGAGGATCCAGGAAAACGGGGTTTACGTTTCAAAGTCAGCAAGAAGCGGAGGTTTCCCCGCTGCGCCGTGGAGCCCTGCGCTCGCTAGCTCCCTAGCTGGAGTAAGCACCCGGTAGCGGGAGGAGGCGCCGGGTGAGCGGCCTCGGGACAAACGCTTACCCCGGCTCGGCACTGCAGGCACAGCTAAACGCGGATGGTGCACACAGCTCTCCCGGGCTCCCGCACACCGCGGCCTCCTCGAAAGTAAGCCCAGTGCTGTCTAGGTCCTCAGGCTAGTGTCGCCCGTGGGGTGCCAAGCTCAGCGGACTTTAGCTTGGGTGCTGCTCCCCAAAGGGAAAAAGCGCCCTCTCCATTGAAGACCACCCTAAAGAGACTCCCATCACCCCGCCCCCCTCCCAGGAACTCTCGGACACCACTATGCGCGCCCACCCGTGGTCTCTCGCCTTGGGAGGCAGATGAAGAGGGCAGGGGAGAGCGAGACTGGAGTGAAGAGGTGGGTACTCCGGTCTGCAGCAATTGGGGAGGGCTCGGAAAATGGATCAGGCGATGGGCGTCAAGGGGTAGGGGCCCCGGTCACAGCAACCTGTAGGATTGCGGCTGATCGCAAACTTGGGGTGGGAGGCAGTGGTCCCCTCCGAGGTCCTCCGCCCGATTCCCACCCTGTGGGGTCCGCGCGCGCAGAGATGCAGGGCGCAACTTGGGAAGCCAGTGCCATGGGTGCGGGTCCCGCTCGGTCTCGCCGTCGCCCCCTCGCCTCTCCCCTAGCCCCGCCGCCCGCTCCGCCCGGCGCTTACCTCGGGCAGCCGCAGCCCCCGCCGCCCAGAAGCAGAGCCCCAGCCACCGGAGCCACCGGCGCGCCCCTCCAGCGCCTCCTCCTGCGGCGGCCGCTCTCCCCATGCTCCTCGCCCCGCTCGGAGTCCGGCTTCTCTTCCACGGCCCGGGCGTCCGGGAGAGACACGGCGAGCTGGGGACCGAGACGAGCGGGTCCCGGAGGTCTTCGGCGAGTGACTGGTCCACGGCGGCTCCCTACAGCCCCGGGGCAGGGCGCCCCGAGCCGCCGCTGGCCGGGCACCGGGAGCCAGCACGCGCCCCCATAGCCTCCCACGGTGGGGCGACCAATGCCGCCACGGCCGTGCCGGAGTCGCGCGTCGTCTCCGCAGCACCGCTCGCCGCGCTCCCGCTGCTGCCGGGTCCGGGACTACGGGGCCGAGGAGCGAGTCCGCATCGCTAATGAGATCCCCGCGGCCGCCCCTTCTCCTCCCCTCCGAGAGGCAGCCAATGAGCCGGGCCGGGGCGGGGCGGCGGCAGGCCGCGCGGGGCGGGAGGCCGGGAGGCTCAGGTGAGCCCCGCGGCGGCGGCACGCGCCCCCGGGTTCCTCCACGCTCCGCAAAGGGCCCCCGCTCGCGGAGAGAGGAAGCGGGTCGGGAGCCGGGCTCGGGGACGCGAGCTCACGCCTACGGACGTGAGTGGCGCCTGCGGACCTCTCGGAGGCGAGCCCAGCGCGGAAAGATGTGAGCATCTCGGCAGGCTACCTCGGAGTCTGCCGTTTCCACGAAATCTCTGTTTTGTTCAACTTTGAGCCCTTTCGCAGTCCTGCCTCTCCTGCTTCCATTTTTTAACATCAGATCAGACAGCACTCCGTACATGTTCAAAGAAAAAAGAAAAAGGCTTAAATGCCAAGTGGGGAAAAATAACACTAGAATAAATCCATTATTGTAACTATGCTAAATCTGCATGCATATAAATAAAGAAGTAAGGAAATTACAGTCAGGGGTGCGTTAACGGGTATGTGATAGATTTTTTATTTCTGCCTTTTTTTTTTTTAACTGATCTGAAAGCTTCCTCATTTCTGACGCCTCCTGGTTTTGTTTGTTTTAATCTGGGCCCTGGGAATTGCCTTTCTTCTAAGTATCAGGGAAAGTGAGTCGTGCTGGCCTTTATAACAAGAAGGAAAGACTTTTTCTTAAGTGTGGTTTATTTTGAATAACCTGTCAAATCTTTAACTGCTTTTGAAAGTTCTCATGGTTGCCTCTTATTCTTCCCTCCGAAGTAGTAACTTAAGAGAGATTGCCTTAGGCCACACAGTTTCAGAGCAAAGAACACACCTGGGGAGTTGGCCCTGAGTCCAAGACTCCATAGTCAAAGCACGCACCATCTCTCCCACGTGTGAGCCCCCAAAATGGTGCCAGAACTCAACTGGTTAGAACACGCGTCCCCTTTTGCCAGGTTGACCCCAACAGAAAATGAAGTCTTGGCTCAAAAGAAAACCTTCTCGACGGTTCCCCACTGCCCACACTCTATACTGATACGAGTATTTCTAAAAAAAAAAAAAAAAAAAAAATCCATCTCTCTCTTGCCAAAGTGCTCCCTGCTCCCAAACACGTTTCTCCGGAGAATAAACAGTTTAAGGTGAGGTAATTGTTCTAGATGAGGTAATTGCGTTAACTCGCTCTCTACTGAAGAAAAAGAGGATAGGAGGCAGAAAGATTGATTCCCTGATAAGTACATACGCCATCCCTCTCCTGAATGCCACCAGACCTGTGAATGTCGGGGAGAGGAGCCAATTGCTTTCTCCAGTCTTCTTGCAGCTCAGTAAAAAGTTTGGGTCCTGGTCAAGAAAACCAAGCTCTGGGGAATGAATGCTTCAAAGCAAAGACTAATGTGGGTCTGGCTAGGGAGTCGCCTGAAAATCTCTTTAGAATCTTGGTAGATGAGCGTTTTGTCCTTTTCCTCTGAGAAGGTGAATTGAGAATTAATCTACCAAATATGCTTTACCTGTCTTCTGGAAAATAGTCATTCATCCTCTGACGTTCCTTATTCTTCAAGACTACGTGGCAGTTCTATCACAAATGAGTACTTTCTGAAAAAAAAAAAAAAAAGAGGGGGGAAAGAAAGAAAAAAGACTTACTATGTTTCCAAAATAGTATTTAAGTATTACTACTGTCCCCAGAGGGGAGAAAAAGTAAAAATAATTTTATTTTTTAAAAATATATCTCAGGGGCGCCTGGGGGCTCAGTCGTTAAGCGTCTGCCTTCGGCTCGGGTCATGATCCCAGGGTCCTGGGATCGAGTCCTGCATTGGGCTCCCTGCTCAGAGGGGAGCCTGCTTCTCCCTCTCCCACTCCACCTGCTTGTGTTCCTGCTCTCACTGTCTCTCTCTCTGTCAAATAAATAAATAAAATCTTTAAAAAATATATATATATATAGGAACTAGATGAGCTAATATTAGTTAATAAAGTAAAATTGCAATGACAAATGAGACAGGAGAGAAAATAAGAAAACTGAGTGCATAACCTGTTCAAGGAAATGGTTGTTTCACATATATTTTTTTTCATAGCAGAACCAAATCCTAGAATATAGGTACTATTATCCCTTTTTGGCAGATAAGGAAAGTCAGGCTGAGTAGAGAAGTGATTTGCCCAAGATCTTAAAGGTAAGTGTGCAAACATCAAGAATGAGACGTGAGTTTGTGTGATTCTAAACCCAAGATGAAGGTTGAGGTAGTATCCTTTCAATCAGATGTTCCAGAAATAGATATTCCACCTTGTCCTCAGTACTATTTAGCTATTGAATTGGGAGAAGTTGGATCTTCAGTATTACCCCCACATATTACACATCATGTATGAATTATACATGACACATTAATTAAGTTCCATATATTAGAATATCCTGTATTAATCTAATTCTGGCTATTTTTAAACATGTATGAATTGTAGTCTATTCCACTTGGAGAAATAAATTGAAGAGTCACTGCCCAGGACCAATGTCTCCAGCCATGAAACAGCAGCAGCAAGGCCATAGTAGAAGAAACAGCCTAAGAATCAGGACACCAAGGGACTAGGACCATGACATTGCCAAGGACTGGTTCTGTAGCCTGGTAGCAAGTCAACATCTGGTTTCCGTTTCCCCATCTGAAAAAATGGGAGTATTTGACCAGAGAATTTTAAGTTCAATCCTTCTTAAAATCCATCATTTTCAACTGTGGCATATTATGATTTTGAATACTCAGTACAACCAAATCAGAAATCAAGCCACCTATTCTGGAATTGGGGCAATCATGTAACAAATGCAAAATATGTTCTAGACAGATTATTTGGGATGATAGCCACCCTAAAGTTATTAGCTGTAACTAGGTAATATTAATTCAGTGAACAGACTTGGTAGTGTTTTCCTCTATTCTTTGTTGCTTGAATTGACTATGTCTATTTTCTAACACTTTATACATAAAGATAAAGAGGTAGAAGGTTTCTACTCGCATTGCCTTTTGGCCATCTTTAGCCTCAAAAATAGAAAATGTTTGAGTCAAATCAAACTTAGAGGAGGGGAGATAGAGACTGGGCATAGAGAGATCTGTCCTTGCACATAAAATGAATTTTTTCCCAAATATAATGAATTTTTTAAAAATGGCTTACTATAAGTCCTTAGGAAAAGCTCTGTATTTGTCTGGAAAAGGGTATTTAAAGATTTTAGCCAACCTGCTTGGTGTAAATTGTAAAACTCCAAGGGAAGTTAAAGAAAATAGAAATATTCTACATGAGTAAGGGGAAGAATCTGTTCTAGGATTTGCGGAAGGAAAAGGGGAGCCAAGGGGTTGGTGGAAAGCCAAGACCTGGCTAAGATGTGGCCTTTCTCCTGGGAGCTCCAAATCATCTTTAAGCTTACAGAGGCAAGTGAATTCATGAAAAATGGTGAAGAGATTGTAGTTTGCACCTAGATTACTAAAGACAAAACACTCAGGAGAGAGCAAAAAGACTTTAGACATGGAAGCTTTTGAAAAGTATGGAGATATTTTGGGACTGTCCTAAACCTTAGACCTGCATTCTTTTAGGAGCAGGAAGTGCCTCATTTAAAATCTGAACAAAAGCAAGGTGTCAGAAGTCAGTGAGATCAAGACCCTGGGGAACAGAGCACAGCTGTGGCTGAAAGGAAAGGAAATGGGCTTAAGAACATTGAACATTAAGCCTAAGGGCAAGAGGGGCGCCTGGGTGGCTCAGTCACTGGGCATCTGCCTTGGCTCAGGTCATGATCCCAGGGTTCTGGGATTGAGCCCCGAATCGGGCTCGCTGCTCCGCGGGAGGCCTGCTTCTCCCTCTCCCTCTCCTCCTGCTTGTGTTCCCTCTCTCTCACTGCCTCTCTCTCTGTCAAATAAATAAATAAATAAATCTTTAAAAAAAAAAAAAAAAAGACTAAGGGAAAGACGGGGCTCAGTTGGTTAAGTGGCGGCCTTCGGGTCAGGTCATGATCCCAGAGTCCTGGGATGAAGCCCCACAAAGGGCTCCCCTGCTCAGCGGAAAGTCTGCTTCTCCCTCTCCCTCTCCTCTACCCCCCCACTCCTGTTATTTCTCTTTTCCTCTCAAATAAATAAATAAAATCTTTAAAAAAAAGACTAAGGGAAAGAGGAGCTGAAAAGAATTCTGCAATATATTTGTGCATCATACTTTTACCTAACCTTCTGGGCTCAACTGGCAATTTTAGTTAGAACTGCTCTAAGAATTTTTAAGGTTTGTAGGGCCTTTCTACACTGCACACAGATCCTTTCCTAGGCATGGGTTATAGAGAAAGGGCAGTCTTCCCACATTTGGGATGTTAACACTGTGGCCTCCCTCCTCCCAGAACCTGACTACTGTTTCTGAAGACACAACTATTTCTAGCTCTGCCACTCGCAGACTTTTCTGATAAAAGCCACCATTTCTATTAATCATACAATTACGGTAATAAATAGGGAAGACCAAAAATCAACTGGACAAAAGGGCAACAATTGGCAACTTCAACGGGTGAACTTGACAATGTAAGTAAATGAGATATTCTACAAGCAATATTTCCATTGGGAATACTCTGTGCCAGTCATTTCCCCAGGAAGGTCTTGTTCAATCAGAGCAGCACATTTTAGAAATGCAT